TCTCGCATACCAAACTACACTTTACTATACCTGCTTCACTCGGCTATCTAAAGGCTAGGAAAAGAATGAGAAATGCAGTAAGAATTAAGATGCTGTACCCTCCTATACATTGAGTGGGGTTCTGGGTGGTCGGTGCCGGTTGGGTGTCTAAACACCAGTTGACCTGACAACCATTCTGTCAATTCATCTTTGATTCATCCCAAACCTCATCTAAGATGGAAAAACTGTGCAAAGGGGAAAAATCTGAAGGTCAGGTTTGCTAACATTGATTAATAGTGGACATCTTCTTCCTGGCTGATGTGGTTACCTTCATAAACTGTTCTCTGTGCCGCAAGGAGAAAAAGATGCGGGGATGACTCATTCAGAATAAATTAGGTTTCTCCAAGCCACAGGAAGATGTGAGACCAATTGTGAACTAATTCTTTTTGTTGTGAAAGAAATCTTTCCACTTGTCTATAAAGGGTGTTGGCAGAGGAAAATTTGAAATCCATGGCTTTGGGAGCCATTGCAACATCAAACACTCAAGTATTACACACCTCACACATCCAGTACACTGTCTACACACCCTAACATCAAGAACCAAGGCTCTGAGGGGTGAGAAATCAGACTTTTTAGCTGGTGTCAGTAGTGACACCAATTTAAAATGCTCTTTATGCTGTGAGAACAATTACTTCTAAATTTGGTGACTCCTTTGCTTTGAACAATTTTCTCTGGTTGCAAACTGGGTATTGAATCACCAATAGTTTGGGGTGTATTAGCCAATAGATTTGTGACTTTCTGCTTATTTTTTTGGTTATGAAGGTGTTAGTTACATTATTTGCTGCTTGAATCTCTTATTGAATTCCAAAAGTGCAAATAACTGCTTGAAATTTCAGATAAAATTCTGATTTGACTTGATTTGACTGATTTTACACTGATTTGAGCCATTAGTTTCTAGAGCTTATCTACCCATGTGTCATCCCATTCTGCTGCATCTGGTCGTAGATAAAAATCTGAGCCTTTTTACTCCTTCTGTGTGTTTTTGACCAATTCTGTGAATCAGTGGCTGAACTTCAACTGCTTTGGTAGAAGCTCATGTGTAAGGTCTGATCAAAACCCTGCTGGAACCAAGGATCATTCAGGTACAAAATAGCTTCAGGAGCCCAGGGATTTTGGTGTAGAATCTGTAATATCCAACTGCCCATGGTGGCCACCAAGTGGTTGTGGATCCTTTCTCTGGAGACATTTGCAACTTAACATCTGATGTTCTTCAAGCCATAACAACTCTTGGGTGCTACCACACAGAAGTCAGACTGCTGAGGGCCACAGCGGTTTCACTCTCTGGCACTGAGGCTGTGAGCCACTGAAATATACCTGCAAAATCTTGCAGGTCTTATATCCACATTCATGTTGGGGAAAGAAAAGAAAAGAAAAAAGGAAAAAGAAAATAAAAAAAAAATAAAAAATAAAAAATAAAAAAGAAGAGTGGAGAAATATGGTAAATTTTAGGAAAAAGAGACTGAGTGTTTTTCCATCTTGGCCTGGCCCTGTTCAGAATGTGTGATTTTATTGGCCTATGCCAAGGGCTCATTTTTTGGGGGTTATATTTGTTTACATAAAGGAATATATTTCACTGTTAATATTATAGCAGAGGAGAAAATCCTTTGGAAGAGGCAAACCTGTTTGGTTGCTGGGCTTTATATCCCCTTCTTTTTTGTGCTTTCTATTTCTCAGCAACCTCTGTGCTCTCTCACTACAGGAAGTCACAACAGCTCTCATGCCAACAGCCACCTTTCTTTTTCTTCTTCCAAAAGCTCTTTCAACTTTTCTCAATGTCTTCAGCAGCTCCGTGCCATCAGAGGTGAAAAAGGCCTTTAACAGCTTCCTATGCTGCAGTGGCATGATTGAAGGTGCTCCATTTGAAGAGGCATCGCCAATCACGCCTCTTGGGTAGCTGATTGACAGCAGTATTGTCAGCTCCCAGCTGGCTCCAGATGGACAAGCACCTGAATTCACCTGCGATCGAGGAACATGCATCACTGCTTGACAGCCTGAGCCCCATTAGCGAAGGAAGGGTCATTAAAGAAGCAAACTGCTGGCTTGTTCTTGCCATGACCGTGTTTCGTATGGTCCAACTAAAACAAATGTCCGAATTGACATTCCAAACATAATAAAGAGGTTTCCATATCCGTTGCACTTTCATTGCACAACACCCTTCAATAGAAGTGTTCAGCTAATGGAAAACCAAAATCGCTCAGCACAAAAAAAAAAAAAAGAAAAAAAAAAGAAAAAAATTGTCCACTTTTTCAACATCCTCTTTGCTTTCAGATGAGAAAGGAAAGGGGGATGTTGAGAAGAATGCAAAGAGCAAACATCTTAAAATGCCAGCAAGAGCCTTTTGGAAGCTGATTAGAACCATTTGTGTGTGGTCAACAAAAAAATTGGAGTTTGCAGAAAATGGAAGGGAGACAACCTCTGCTCTGTTCTGAGTCAAAGAACAGATGCCAGCGTTTCTTCTGACTTTACAACTTTTTCTTGGCCTATCCATGTGAAAGACTGATTAAAAATGGGGGCTGAGAATGCTTGTTGAAAAACCTCCCAGATTGTAATCCTAGCACAAGGGCAAAGGCAGACTCGCAGTAAATCATTTCTGGCTGTCTGGATCACTTATCGAATATAGCAAGCAAGGACACCCAGTCATGGCTGTAGGAAATCGCACGTCCAATGGTCTTCTCCTTGCAAGGGGCCTTTGCCCTATGTTCTAAGTGAAGCAGAGGGCAGAAAACAGACTATCCAAATTACAGCTGTAGGCCAGAAAGAAAAAAAAAATAATCATGAGAGAGAAAGAAAGAACAAGATTTTCTGTAAAAAAGCCATAGACATGGATGGAAAGAGATTTATCTCCTCCAAAACCATTTTTCCTTCAGTGGTGTCCTAGGTAAAACAAAATAAACCAAGAGGATTGAATTTCACTGGGAGAATGACTGTGAGGTCTGCTGTGCAAGCCAGATTTTCCAACCATACATTTAAAAGCGGTTACTCAAGTTTGGGTAAAAAAACACTTACCCAATTTCCGAGCAGTCTGTGAATTGTGAGGTTCAGTCAGAGGTGCAGAGAAACAGAGCGCTTATTTACAACTTGCACAGAGATCTTTCCGAAGGACAATCGTGTCAGGACTTTTTTGCTGCCCTCTTGACCTCTCCAGGGGGTTTGTGCCCCGCTATGTTTTATTTTTCACCATCAGGGGCTTTAGCGAACATAAAATTCCTTTCCCCATGAACGCTCCCAAGAAAAATGGGCAGCCAACACGAGCTGCCAAAGGTCTGCTAGGTGCAACAGCCATGAGCATTTTGAGTTACTGGAGTGCCAGTTAATCAAAGGCGGCTCAAACTGGAAATATCATGCTCATGGTAAATTTAGCATCCATTATATCCACTAGTAAAACCAGCGGCAGCTGAAAACACTGGAGAGGGAAGCTTAAACTCCAGAAACCGAGGAATCCCATTCAAGAAATGTGTTCTCTATAAACGCAATAGGGCTGAAATATGGAAAGGGTAAAACTGAGAGCTCAAGGAGCATTGATTTATCGGCTGAGACCCATCAAGAAGTGGTGAAGGAAGGGTCTTTTTTGTATGGTTGGTTTTTACAGGAGACAATTCATTTGTTACCATTACAACTTCTTTTTTTTTTTTTTTAATAAAAATTAAAAAAATCTTTGTCCCCCAGAACTAGTGATAACAATGTGACTGAGGATTAATATCAATCTAAAATTCAGACCTTTCAGATAAAGTATGCCAAATTTTTATATTAGCAGTTAGCAATTCAGTCACACTGCCTCAATATGAAACCAAAATGCATCAGTTTTTGCTTTTCTTTTTTTTCCCTTTTCAGTTTTTGCAAAATGCAACAGTATTGCAACAAAATTCATTAGATTGAAACCCTGATTGTGGTTTCAATCTCTAAGACCTTATTAACCTCCAAAAACTAGCTTCTATTTTCATGTGACATACCAGTTTTTCTTGTAGCACCTGTGTCTCTGTATGGACAAGTCAAACGATTGCATGTATTTTTCTTGTTGAAAGTTTTTTCCTAGCAAACCTTGTTTCTATTTTTAACCTGACTTTCAACAGCGTCATCACAGATTTTGTTTTTATACTGAATGTTTGCAACTTTTTGGCATATTATAATCTCTTGGCATGCCCTAATACTTCTAAATGGTGCTAAAATAAATCACTCCTTAGTCTTTTTCATCCAATGTGTTTTATGACTTGATCTGAAATAAAACAGTTGCTCATACTATGCAGAAGTGTTTTAATGGCACAAAGCAAAGAAAGAAACCCAAAACTCAAGAAGGGTACAGTACTCTTCATATTTTTTTCCCCCTAACTTTGCTGTTAATAGATATGAATTCAGTAACGGTGAGAAACATATTCAAAACCAGAATGTACTGTAACAGAAAACAAGAGGGGTCATGGTTCAGCTTTTTTGCAAAGAGAAAGACAAAGGCATTGTGTTCTGAATCTCTGAGCCTGTAGGTAAGTCTGGTATAAAAAAGGTTTACTTGCTACCATTGCAAAACAGGAATGTACTGAGAGGTTCTCTAAAACAGCAACTTCATTTTTAACCAGACTGAGCCTTTTATTTGTGAAAGCCCACTCCGTGTCACATTCACACCTGGAAATGCATTAGGTGGGAGGAGGGGGGGGGGAGGACTGTCCATCACCACTGCATGCCCCAGTGGTAGGTCCACAAAGCTGATTCCACGGCTCACCACTGATACTAATTAATTTCATCAAACAGTGAGAGCTTGGCATCAAAATGCATTATTGATAGAGCAGGTGGGGTAGGTTTGCAAAACAATTGCTCCTTGCATGTAGATATGTTAATGAGGAAAGAGGGAAGAAAAAAAAAAAAAAAAAAAAGCAAACGAGGCCATTAGCCTTTTGAGCTGTCTCCATAATTGCCAGGTGCTTAGATTTAAACGAGGTATTTATAAATTTGTGCAATGCTGCTCTTTGCAGCTTCTGTCTGAAAGATTTATGGGGAGGTTGTTCTGCTGTAGGCTCACCTCAGCTGAAACTGCTCCTATGTTAGTGGCAGTCATGTTCTCCAGGTTTTGCTGAAAACCAGCTCTCAAGACACAGGTAACACATCTCTTTTTTTCTTTTGTTCTGATGCAAAAAATTGTATCTCTTTACTCTTGTTTCCAAGGAAGCAGCTTTATTTTTCTAAGCCTAGTAGGTAAAACTTAAACATGTCAAATTTTATTTTATAGTCTTTCTTTTTATGATTTTTTTTTGTCTGTTTTGCCAATGTTAACTAAGCTGTAGTAATACTGTGACAAACAAATAACATCTTCAAAAGGGTGGGATTTTTTTTTATTTGCTTTAAGATATCTTTAAGATTATTTTTTTCTGGTAGGAGAGTGAGGGAAGATTTCAGCTTTTCAGCTGTATTTCTTTATTTTCCTGAAATATAAGAAATTAGATGAGTATATTACAATTTTTATCTTATTCCCTGCATCTCACATTTTTATGTTGTTGGAGAGAAATTGGGTTCAGGGAACATGCTAAAAATATAGCAGATAACTGTTCTGGAATTGAGATGATATAGAGAAGCTCTTCTCATGAAAAGCTGGCTGCAGAGAGGTACAAACCCAGGGGTAGAGCAGGGATCATTTCAAGTTCCTGTTCTCCTTATGTGAAAAGAAAGAGCTGCCCCTTCCACTCTTTCTTTTTTTCCAGCTAAAAAGAAATTTGCTATCTTGCTTCCTAATTCACCAAGAGTGTAAAGTGCTGCCTCTCAGAAAATAAAAGTAGTGAAAACATCTACTTCCTTGGAAATATTGCTGATGGGTTCACCTTTTGTAATGAACCCTAGAGCAACATCCTGTTCTCTTTTTTTTTGTATGTCCTTGGCTGCAAAATTTGGCTTCTATTGAATGGATATGTACAAAACTTACTGATATATGAAGAGATACATTTTTTTTTTCCTCTGTCTTAATTCTGCAACATAACAACACTCTGAACTTATGTCCTAAATAGTCTCACTACTGAAAATGAAAATATTGGCACACATTAGGGTTGTAGCATTTATTCTGCTGCCCAGTTCAGAAACACCCTAATCTATAGCACTATCCTACCAGACAGCAGAATGTATCCTATACATCATCAGTTTGCTATTCTGAGGATGGATGTCTCTGCTGTCCTCTTTGAAGAGAAAAAGTATTTTGCTAAGAGAGATTAAGTCAAGCCTTTGTTTTTTGCTGTGGGGAGGGGGTATTCACTGATATCAACCACAGAGCTGTGCAAGTGGCTGAATTACAGGTTGAGGTTCCCAAATACACCTCTGTTCTAATACTCTGCAGAGTACTTCCTATTCTTCGTATTGAATTCTTCACATTGAATACTTTGTAAATATTCTGGTAATGGGTGAATAGGGGGTAAAGATCGGGAAGGGAGGGGTAGAATCCTGTTTAGAAATAAAATATCATCCTGTCCAAAGAATTATAATGTTTATGTCTATGGGGGTAAAAAGTATTTTATGTGAGTTCCCACTTCTTACTAAGTTCCATGCCATAATGTAGAAATCTGATGGAAAACTTTGAAATCCTGTTAACACAGAGGGATGTTTTTCAGTGAGGAGTTGTATGTTGGTGCTCAGATACAGTGCACTCAAAACAGCCCCTTTGGGCTGACACCAGTAGTCATGCTTTGTCATTAAACTTGACTCTGTAAATGCCCTCAATGAGGCAAAACTTGCTACCTCTGCCCTGTGAATGCAGGCTGAGCTCTTAAAACTGTTAACTTCCCTCTCACTGTGTTATCTTTTGCAGTAACAATACTTTCCTAGAAGGAGAAATCCTGCAAGCGAGGTCTGATTGCATGTGGAGCACTGTCAGCTTGTAATGGCAGTCAGGAGCGTGTGTCAGCATTTCTGTGTTTGAGCCACCTGATGTAATGGTATTAAGATGCTAACATGCGAGTCCACCTCTGCAATCTGCCAGCTGCTGGCTGCTCCAGTCCGTTTTGGTTCAGAGTTTTAACAAGATGTTTCTGGTCTGTAATCAACGTAAACTTCCCAAGCAAAATCTGGTGGAACATCCCAATTCCTGGATGAAACACACAGTGCTTTACTTTGACTGTAATGTTGCCCTGCTTTAGGTAAGGCATTGGAACAGAAAGCAGTTTCTAATCTTTGTAATTCCTGCTTTTTAAAGCAGGATAGAGCTGTCAGGTGGGATATCAAATAGAGACCAGCCAGTATGCTGGAACCAAAATACATTATTAGAATGGTAACACCTCAGAGCATGTCCTACTGATACCTACCTTATGCTTTGCATTAAGTTTTTCTCATGCCAGAAAGTTGTTGGCATCAGTGGGACTGAGGCACATGAAGTTATTCACGTGCATAAATGTTATCCATCAGATTTCTACATTATGAAATGTAGAAAGATTGGAATCTTGGAATCAGGGTTGTTCCCTGTGCTGGTTACAAAACCCATGAAACCTCCAGCAATGAGCAAGCTGATGCCATGCTCCTAATATCTCAGAGCCTATTTGACAAAGTCCCATCCCTTCAGGCAGGCTTCCTGAGACAGACTTGCTTTTGCCCCCTCTCTGAGGGCTCAGAGGAGTAACTGCTCCTCCATTGAGGGAACAGAGGCTTGGACAGCCTGGAAGGACCACAGGAGTCCCCAGCCACGATGCTCTCCCAGGATGTGTTATTGTAACACTGAACTGACATCTTTCTCCTGGGTCTTAAGCAAGGCAACTTGCCTTTGCAGCGTTGTCCTCTCTCTTGACTTGAACCCAGGCCTCCCATCTGCAAATTCAATAGAAAGTGCCTGCTTTCTATTGCAAGCTGCTTAATTGGCTGCTGTTCTTGCTCCTTCAGCCGAATTTGCATTAAAGAAAGACCTGCGATCTTTGGCATTCCCTATGTAAAACTCCATATTTAGTGTATGGAGCTGGCAGTTCTCTTAACGCCCACATCTGTCTCTGCTCGCCACAGCTGATTTATGTTTAATATCTTGAAGGCATGTGGTGCCAGTCCCACGTTGAGCTCTGGATTGTGGTGGTCCGTCTGTATTTGTTGAAATTGGGCCCAAAGAAGCTGGCTTGGAGCAGAGACTGCGAGGAATGCGAGCCAGTGGCCGTCCAGACAGCTCTGTCAGCAAGCTCAGGAAACTGGCTGAAAAATACTGGGAAGAGGCCCAGATTTCAAACAACCTGTGGAGCTCTCATGAGAACACACTGTTTTAAAACAGAAAGTTGACTGATACTCTTAATTACAGATTTTAAAAAATGAAGGTTAATGATGTCCCTGCCATGGCAGAATGCAAGGCATGTTCCCCAAATTGCAGTCATCGAACAAGCAGGCTTCATCCTCTTGCGTGGAAAGCATGTTTTCATGTGCTACATTCTGCCACTTTCTCAGGCAGAGATAAAGATCAGGATGCTCTTGGGATCCCACAGCTATGGGCTGACCTTTAACTGCAGCAAAACTGGCCATATAGAGAGATCTTTGGTGCAGGGTTTGGCTTTTGTGTGCCTGCTTGTGAAGGCAATGGTGGGGTTTGCGTGTTAAAGCTGTCATTCTGCAAAATAAAAAGCTATCATCATGAGAGCAGCTTCGTCTCCAGAATTAACGAGCTCTGTGGTCTTTATCAGGGATGGGGATACCTTGAACACAGAATGATTTAACCAAATACAAGCTATAGGGCTCAACAGTGGAGTATAGGGGTGAAATGCAAGAGTCTGAGAGCATGGTTGTTTGCAAATGATCAGATCATTTTGGTCTTCAGTTTTATGCATTTAGAACATGATGGACTCCAGTATATCGTATTGATCAAACTCTACCCTAAGAATGAATTGCAACTTTTAATTGCAAAAAGACAGCTTTTACCCTGCCTGCACTATTAAAATAGCACTTGGATGTTTTCTCTTGAGAAATTCTCATTTTCTTAATTTAAAGGTCTTGTGATTGGGTCAGCATATCTGGAGTTTGGTATATTGCACAGATTTAATATTGGGCTGCAATTCACCATAGTGAGTATTTAAGTCTATATACTCTGGGACAATGCTTCATTTTTCAAGTCAGGAAGTGACTATTCAGTATCCTGACTTGGACAGAGCTTACAAAGAAAGATCATTTAAACCTTTGTTCCTGAGATTTTATTCATAGTTCACTTCATTCTGAAAGATTTTATCTCATTTGAAAACCACTCTACATGAATTTTAAAACATTGAAACAGACTGCTCATGACATGTAAATTGGGAAAAACCAAAAGTAAATTTCAGAGTAAACTTTTATTTAATTTGAAAACATTTCATATGAATGGAAAGAGATTTCTTTCTATGTTTAAAAACTGATCTTCTCATTATTCCACATGTCAATGCTCTACAAACTTTTAAATGTCAGTGATGACATTAGGAAGGAGAGTAAACAGGAAAAAAATAATTAAAAATATGCTCTCGATAGTGCCTTGAGGTTAAACAGGGTAAAGCTTTGCTTCTAATATTTGTTAGAGGGTAAAATTATGTAGCTCTTCAAAACTGTAAATATCACTGTTTCACAAAGATTATCTGTTAAATGTATGTTTCTTTTGCTCAGCAACTTGGCTGCAATGATTTATGCCAACTGGCTTAGAAACAGTGAAAATTAATTTATGGCTCATTCCTAGTTCTCTGTTAATATGTCTGTTGAAAAAGTACGAATGGGAAGGAGAGGACTTCAGAAGTTTCAGATGGAATGGAAACCCAGTGTTTCAGAGCACTAGACTACTTAATAGCTATATTTAGTAACTTCATGATCCCTGATGGCTGTTATATGGGCAGGTATAAAATGCTGGCCTTGACAGAGAGCAATGGAAGAAATTCTGCACTGTTTAATAAGCTCTGGACAAAGCTTCCAGTTACTGGTCCAGAAATAAGGAACTGCAAAGGACTTCTGGGGTCCCTTTCCTCTTTTTAATTACTTTGCTCCTTACTCCACTACTTCTACAGGAAGTTTGTTCCAGGGCCTCTTGCTGCCAATGGAAATGGTGTGGAGAGACCGCTGCATTCAGTGTGGTAGATGTTCTGATTGTTTCTGTTCCTTCTGAACATGTAAATGCCTTTTTGGCCAGCAAGTGACACTTATG